CGCTGCCGGCCCCCCGGCCTTCCGTTCGGCACGGGCAGCTGCTGCTCTCCAGCGGGCTCCCCTCCTTGGACTGTGTGCTAGGTTGGTGGGGAGCGGGACCCGGGACCCGGTTGCTGTCCCCCCCTGCGCCCGGCGGCCCCTCTTCTGCCAGGCCCTGCTTGTCATTTGGCTTCCATGACCCCGCAGCTGCTCCCAATGGCTTTTTTTCCTTCCTCCCCGCAGTTCCCGGGGTTGGGGGGAGGACGGGGAAGAAAAGAGGAAGGGGCAAAGCAGGATCTGCTTCCCGCCGTGAGCCCCCTCCCCCGTGTGAGGAGCGGGGGGGCGGCACAGGCAGGGAGCTGCTTGCCGGGGGAAGGCTGCCATTTACTGCTCGTTTAAATGGGTGTAAGCAACCTTTCTGGAGGGGAAAGCTGCTCTGTAAATGTACTTAGACTTCAGACTGTCACAGGGAGGGGTCCGAAGTTTTCGTTTCGGAAAACGTGCTCGCTGGATTAATTCGTTGTGTAATGTGGTATGGTTTTTATTCTTAAGTATGGCAATATTTAGGGTGTGTCTGACCATAAGACTGGGTTCCCAGTGCATCTCTGTGCTGCTCGCCCCTGCTACATCAGTATAAACGCCCATTTAGATGAGTGACACTGACATGGCGCTGTTGTCACTGTCTGTGAATCTGCTTTTGCCTGCTGTCACTGTCCAGATGCTAAGGAGTTCCTTGGACTGATGCTTGCTGTGTTATCATCTGTGGCATCAACTAGCACCATTTACTGGGATTGGGAACTCGTTAATTTCACTGCTACAAACAGCACATATTGTCTGTATGCACTAGGGCTGCATGATCTGTTTACTGACTCCTGGTAACGTTGTAGTACATCTTCAGTGCACATAGATGGAACTACTTTTAGGTAATGAAAGTTGACTTTAGCTTTGTTAATTCATCCTTGGAGAACTTCATGGACTGTAAGAATATACTTTCTCAGGATATTCTATATGAGTAATGATAAACATACCAGTTGTGTCCATTTTGTGACGAAGTATTTGCAGCCTGTGTATCTTAAGGAGAATCACACTTCTGTATTGTTTGTATGTGTGTGTCTGGTCAGGAACACCTTCAGTTTCGTCAGGGAATGGCATCCTTTTGGAGAAAGAGAGAAGTATCTAATTGAGTGTAGTTTGTGAAACCCTTTAGTTGCATAAATACAAGATTTGCACTGAATATTCCAGTTCCTCTTCATACTCCCTTTTATAAGCAGTGGATTTTGCACAGCATGTGTCAGAAGATGTAGACAGCTCCCATGGTGGCAGTCGCCTAAATGTCCAGACACCTGCTAACATAATTAGTGGTTTGTTATGAAAACTGGGAACACTTCTTCCAGTACTCCCAGAATCCCTTCTAAAGTACCTTTTCTTTGCCTTTTAAATATTCAGCAATTTCCTGACCTTAAAAAGTTTTACACTTGAACAACAAGAAAGTTCTTAAACCCTAGTAACAGCAACTTCTGAAAATACTTTTAAGGTGTTTTCTCAGTTGTGGCATCTATGAAAAACTGGAAAACTCTATTTATATTTTAGATCTTTGGTAACCTCCTAGCCCTTAAATCACTGATTTCTGGAGGCTGAGTGTGTTGGCCAGGAAAGACTGGTGCCAAACATGTTGTAATAAAATTTCCATTCATAGCAAGTATTAGGCATTGTTAGAGATAACCATCTACCTAGCTGGACCTGTACAGAGTCATGATTTTGGAGATTAGGGAGGAACCTCAGGAATTCATCTACTGCAGCCTTAAAGCAGGCTCAGGGCTTAATTCAGAGCCGATTGTTTAGAACTTCGTCTACTCTTGAAAATCTGCAACAGTGGAGATTTCACAGCCTCTCTAGACAACCCTGTTCAGTGCTTAATTTTCTTTGTGGGGAATTTTCTTTTTCCTTATATCCTCTTTTCTTGTTTCAGTTTATGCCTGTTGTTTCTTGCCCTCCCACTGTGCACCTCAGCAAAGAGCTCAGCTGTCTTTTCAGTAGCTTCTCTTAGGTCTTTCTTCTCCAGATTAAACAAGCCCAGTTCCTTCAGCCACTGCTCTTGGGTCATTTACTCCATCTTGGTTCTCCTTTGCTGGACTCACTTAAGTTTGTCTTTACTTTTTCTTGCACTGAGGAGCCCAAAAGTAGATATTGTATTCCAGGTGTGATCTGAGTGCTGAGTAATGGGGAGTAGTCACGTCCCTTGAGCAACTGACTGAGCTTCTGACTATGTTGGTGACTGCAGAAGTATTGTACTTTGTCTTCCTTTCATTTTTGAATGTGTGTGGAAATGCTTCCAAACTGTCTTGCAGAATGCTGTTTATGTGTTACTATGAACTGGTTTGGTCTGGCATTTTTCATAGGCATATTTTTAAATTATTACCAGGCAGTTTTCTAGATCTCTCACTTTGCACTGGGATTTAAGTTCACCTTTTCCAGAAGTTGCAACCCAAATGTAGCATTATTTGCTAGACATGAAGATACAGCTCATGAATAGGTGTGAGTAAGGGAAGGCATGATAGTGTGAGACACAAGTCTAATTGGAAACTTTGGAAGAGGGGAAAAGGCAGAGGAAGGAAGATGAAGGAATTTCTTTTACCCTACAGCTACTGGCTGATTTGTTACACAGTTGTTGCTAGCTCTTCTTAATAAATACATTTCCTTTCAAAACAGAGTGGTAGTTAATGCTGGATTTTAAATTCCATATTATCATTAAGGCACTCTACACTTCCAGGCTTTATAATCAAGTTTACTTTCAAGGTTTATAGATCACATGTGGCTGCTTTCTGCCGAAGCAGTCCTCTGTAATGAGCTGTAGCTACTGTGTAATTTAACCATCACATGCTTGGTATTGAATGTTTTGTTTCAAGCTGCTTGAAAAACGGTCACAGATAGGTTTTGAAAACAATGGGGACTCCTCTCAACTTGCAAAGTTTGTTGTGTCCCGTTTGTAAGATCTTAAATGTCATTGTTGTAAGTAGCAATGCAGAAAGTCAGAAGTCTTGTTGTACTACTACTGTAGATGCTAGCAAAGAAAAATTAACAAAATTATAAATAATTACAAGTTCACAGCAGTTTTCTTAGGAAACGTGAAGATTTTACCTTATCTTCTTGATTCTGTCAGCATTCCTGATGCTACTTTTCCCTGTCTTCTGTTTTTTGCTTGATTTACTATTGTTGCAAAATGAATATGTAACCATGGTAACTGCACTAGTTTTACATTACATTTGATAAAATGTCCTTGTTCAAACTGTTCACTACACTTGATAATGTAAAGCCGATTATGTGCCCATCTCTTACAACTCTGACTTGTAGAAGAGACTTTACAATTGATGGTCTGAAAATATGGCTGTGAGAATTTTGACTGCACTGACATACTATTTGACAAAGAAATTCTCCCTGTGCAAGCCATTTAAAAGTGGAAGAGACACTACTTCTGTGGTGGCTGCAAATGAGCTTTTTATAACCAAGATTTTAAGTCCTTATTAGCATAAAATAATGTATTACAGCACTTTTGATCATCTCTTCTATGTCAGGCTATGATTTGGTAAAATGTCATCCTTTTGAGCTATTTTTTTATGTGCTATACAGAATGTGCTAGTTTTAAACAGCTCTTGTTAGTAACCCATGCACTCACTCTACATGAACAATTTAATGCAGTGAATATCTGAAGTGTATTTTGTATCAGCTGTCTGTATAATTTCTAATTTTGCTCTTTTTTCTCTTTTTCATTGTGGTACATCTTTTGGGTTCATTTGCATTTATGTCCTGAACAAATAAAATGAACCAAAAGTTGTTGGATTAGAACATGGAGGTTGAATGAGTGATTCTAACTTCCTGACAAACTCTACGTATAATTTTTTTTCAATATCTACAAAATACTTGATTAATTGATAAGCTTGCTTTTAATATTGAGGCTTTTTGTGTATCTTGACTCAGGAGCATAGATTTTTTAAAAATCTGTGATGTGTTGAGCTACAGCTGTGAAATTAGTAGCTGATTAAACATTTGCACTATGATGTGCTGCTCAAATTGTACGTCATGACATGGTGACAAAGTGATTCTATTGTGGTTTTAATTCAGGTGTTATTATGCAAAAATATTAGCACTTTTTGGACTATGGAACAGAAATTTCCTCTTTCTTTTCTCTCTGAGTATATAACAACATTACAGGTGCTACAGACGTTGGTAGTCCCACCAGCAGAGCTAAAGATTGAGAAGTTGATCCAGGTCCTATTGGAATAAATTTCAAGTTTGATGAGCTTTTTAACTGATAGACTGAATTATCCTGTTCACTAGAGTCCACCTGTGCAGTCCAGAATTGACTTAATTTATCAAGAGCTCTGGATATTGTGCTGATGTGATTTGTTTTGCTTCTAACTTTCTTTTAAAGCCGTACATAACTGCAGAAGACATACTGCAGTTTCCCTTATGCAAAATGTAGCAGTAGGCTAGTTACATATGAACTTCTAGGAATTTTGAGCTTTCCTGTCAAAGTCTTATGTGATTGTTCAACAAAATATTTGTAGTCTGATTTCATGTTATTCCATTATTTCAGTCTTGGAACTCAGATTACAGTTTACTCTTCACCCAAAATAAACTATGAATTCTTTCACTATCTTTGTTAAAGTGCCTTCTTGGGGCAACCATTTAAAGCACTATTAAGTAATTATGGTTGCTGTCTCATCAAGAAGGAAATAAAACAGTCTGGATGGGAGTTCATGGACATATTTTTTTGTTCTCCACACAATTGAGATCAATGGGATAAGAATCTGTGTTTCAAAACATATTGGAAGAATTCTGTTCTATTATCCATTCAGTCATCTGTGATTGGAGCCTAAGCATTGGTTGTAGTTCTTTAAACAAAAAGCAAGGAAAACTATAGTGGCCATGTATAAATGTGTCAAAATGTATTTTTATTTTTTAACGAGTTTGAACTGCATTCATAGAGTTGTTTTTATGTCCAAGGCATACTCTAAAACACTTGAAAAGTGGTGGGTTTTTTATCAGATGTGTGTTATGATGTTTATGATCTGTCCATCCAGGGGTGAAATCCTACCTGTCTTACTGCCATGTCTGTTTTCAGTAATAAGATAAAAAACAGTGAAGCCAGGATTTTGTCTCATTGACTTGGGTGGGAATTTACTAGTCTCATAGTAGGTCACTTTACATACGTGGTTCTTGTTACAAAGGAATATCACTTGGTAGTGGTTAATACAGATTTAATTTGGAGTGTGTTTGATCACTGGAGTCATCCAAGGAAAAATTTGCTGGCTCAGACTGTACAACATTATTGTAATACTTGAGCATGGTTGCTTAGAGCTCTGCAGGATCTTTTTACCACAATGATGATAGTACAGTATATTGTGAAAGTAATTGTAATGTGTAATATATCATTACATGTAATGTATAATTATTTCATAATAGAGAATTGTAGGAAGTATTGCAAAGGTAATTAAAATGTTGTTCACTTTTATATTTTTAAATTCCCTGTTATCACCTTTCTTTGACTTTTAAACTAAGAAAACTTAATTGTTCTCTAACATAGTATTAAAATGTAGTCTTACTTTATTCTTAATCTTCTTTTGTTTCCAGGTGGAGGCGTAGCTGTTGGAACCCTTCTTCTAATTGGTTAGTATAGAAATTATAGATACTTAAAGCCATATTCTGATGTGTTTTGCTCATTTTAATGTATTTATCAAATAATCTGTCTTTTCATTGTTTTTTAAACTCAGACTTCAAGAAAATAAACCTCCTGAGCCCCTTCGCTTTGCATAGCTTTCAGAGTGAATATTGTCTGTGTCAAGAATCATTGGAGATGGATCATTATATTTAGATAGATTTTTAGCTACGAAGGAGAATACCATGGAATTGTCTTTGAAAGCAGGGCATTTAGCAAATTTTAGGACTTTTTAGGAAAATTTTCAGATTATTTAAGATTTTCTAAACTACTCAATTTCCTGTAAGATTCAGACTCTATCATCACAAAGTTGAGTTTGTTTGTTTGTTTGTTAATTTGGCTTTCTGAGGAAGGTGTGAAATACAGAATCATTTAATCTTTTGATTGCCAGAATCAACTAAGAGAAGGTCCATGGGAGCCTACTTTCCGTCAGGATGTGCACGGGCCATGCTGAGATGATTGAATAGGTTACAAAAGAATTCCCTTTACAGACTATATTGACACTGTCTGCTGCCATGTCTCCATTGCAGCTGAGATGCCCAGCTTTCCTTTCTATTTAAAGTGTAGCAAAAGGAAAGAGAACTATTGTACACATACATCTTGTCTTCATAACCCCAGGGTACATACTGAACTTGGAGCCAAGAAACATTTCCCAGGCCCCTCTATTTAAGCATAGCAGCCAAAACCACAATTGTGAGGGAAGACTAATTTCTTACAAGTTAGTCATGTAAGTGCTTACAGTTTCAGATGGCAGTTACTGTAAAAGAGAAATTGGAGAAGATACCACCTGGTTTTTCACATCAGTTCATTACCTTGGTCTTCTAAGGATAAAAAACTGCTTCAAAATAATGTAAGGCCTGAGTGGTGATAGAAATGTGATTTTTTTTTTTTTTCCCTGTGTTTAATATTGATCAGATTAATGGTTCTATGAGAAACTTTCAAGGTTGTTACTTTCCTAGCAAGAAGAACTGATATTACAGGAAAAAAAATTAAAGGTTACTAGAGAAATACCTGTAGTTATGTGGAAAACATATTTATCTGTAGTCTGTGTTCACATCTTAAATAGTGTAAAAATCTAAATACTGCTTCTTGATACCAAGTTGCTGGAAGGAAGAACTAGGAATGAAGAAACAACAGCCCTTAGCTTTGTACATACTGCAATTTCTCTGTACTATTGAAGTCTATAAAGTTGTGTGATTTGTTTCTCCCACTGAATAAGAGGTAAAGTACCTCAGTTTCATTATTTGTGGGAGTGACAAAAACATATTGCATTGCAAAGCTGTTTGAGATATGACAAGCAGGATCTGAGTGCCTTCATACTAAGTCCCAAAAATCCTGCTCTAAAGCCTTAAATATAAATTTATTATTTTAAGTTAAAAGAGTGGATTATGCGATTGTAAAATGGGACAGTAGAGACAAAAACTGAAAAACTCAGGTACAGAGTAAGATACTGCTAACAAGAATTACCAAGAGTAATACAGATTTTTCTTAAGTAGCTCAATAGTGATGGGAAGCCCAGGAGAAGGGCTGATTGACTTCTTGATGAAGGGGAAAAACTAGTCATAGTTAATATTGAGAAAGGAGAAAATTAAGAATTTTTTATTGATCTTCACCCATAAGGAGCACTGAAATCTCATTACCATCATAATTGAGAACAGTGACTAGATTTCAGTTTTGCTTAGGGAAAAAGCAGACTAGTACATGCCTAGGTGATTTGAGTGGTTTCAAATATGTTGGGCCTGCAGAGTATTTTAAGAGCTTTCTGATGAAGTGTTAGGACCATTAGTGTTTATGAGAGCTGGTCTTGGACAGTAGAGGAGAAAAAGAACTGGAAGACTAGAAAATACAAATACAGTTTCTGTTTTTGAATGCTCTTGGAGGAGCTTCTGAATTGCAGGCCTTGAACTATAGTTCAAAAGAACAGCATTGTAGTGGGTTGACCTTCGCTGGACACCAGATAGCTACCAAGCTGTTCTGTCACCTCCTTTCCTCAGCTGGACAGAGGAGAGAAAAATATAATGAAAGGCTCATGGCTCAAGGTAGAGACATGGAGATACCTCTCAGTAAGTACCATCGCAGGCAAAACAGACACAATTCAGAGAAATTAAATTAATTTATTGCCAATCAAATCAGAATGGAATAATGAGAAATAAAACCAAATCCTGCACCTTTCCCCCACCCCTCACTTCTCCCTGGGCTCAGTTTCACTCCTGATTTCTCTACATCCTACTCGTGTGCAGTGCAGAGGGATGGGGAATGGGGGCTTGTGTTCAGTTCATCACACATTGTCTCTGTTGCTTTTTCCTCCTCTCTCTGCTCCTGTGTGGGGCCTGCCAGGAGTGTTCTCCATCATGGGCTCTCCCTGGGGTCACAGCCGCCTTCAGGTGCATCCACCTTCACTGGTGTGCAGTCCCCCACGAGCTGCAGGTGGATATTTGCTCCACCATTTACCTCCATGGACTGCAGGGGGAGAGCCTGCACACTGGCCTTCAACAGGGGCTACAGGGGAATCTCTGCTTCAGCACCTGGGTCACCTCCTCCCCCTCCTTCACTGACCTTGGAGCCTGCAGAGTTGTTTCTCTCAGATATTCTCACTCCTCTCTCCTAGCTGCTGCTGCTCTGCAGTTTTTTTTCCCTTTCTTAAATATGTTCCCACAGGGGTGCTATCACTGCCTCAGATTGGCTTATCCTTGGTCAGTGGCTGGTCCATCTTGGAGCCAGCTGGAACTGGCTCTGTGGGATATGGGGAAAGCTTCTGGCATCTCCTCACAGAAGCCACCCCTATAGCACTCCCCCTTCCACTACCAAGACCTTACCATGCAAACCCAATAAAGGATGTAAGTAGCAGCCAGTATGTTAAATAATCTTTCTGTATGACATAATGAACATGTGGATAGAAGATAAGCAGGACATGCCATTTATCTTCAGTTTAGTAATGCTTCTGACACTATTTCAAATGAGATTCTCATAACCAAAGCTAGGAACCATACTCTATGTTCATTTCCAATATACTGTCTCAGTGTTCATAATGCAAACTAGCTTCACAACTTCAGAAACTGCCATAGCATCCTTCCCAGTATGTCTTTCTTCATGTTCTGAAGTAGACTTCTTACTTCCAGGAAGTTTAGTGTTCTGATCACTTGGAAGTATTTCTAGTAATATTGTTTAGAATTCCTTGGCGTGAGATCTATGCAAAGACAAAAACATCATGTCTCTAGTGATAGGTACCAGTAGGCTAGGAGCTGTTCAGAGTGTGGCTCTTTAGACTTAAGAAAGATTTAATCAGTCATTTTCTGAAAGGGATGCAAGCAGTGTGACCCCAACATTTTATCTGTGTTTTTTTTCCACTGTGTAATGGCAGCCATCACTTGGGAAACAAAATTCTGTGTTTATGTGTAGAATTTTAGTTAAATATTTTGAATTGTTGTAATATTTTGAATTATTCTTAACAGTAAAGAACCTAACAGTGAAATCTGGGGAGACATATTGAGATTACATCGTGTCAGCTTTTGTTGGTATAGGGCTCATGCAAACCTGCACCAGAGACTGAACAGCATTTTGTGTTTACCAGTGAGCAAGGTAGTTGCTCTTACGACTTGTTGCTTTAAGCCTAATTTTTATTTCTACATTTTATCCATGTTGTATGTTGTGGTGCAGATTAAGTAATTTCACAGAATCACCAAGGCTGGAAAAGACCTTTGAGATCACCGTTTGAGTAGTTGCCTGCCAGAAAAAATAACTGACGTTACCCAGTTCCATATAGGCCACCATTTGTGTAATGGCTACCATTTAAGTTTAGATTTTTTGAGAAAACTGGGTGGATACAGGAGTTCACTATTGCTTAAAGAAGTCGTCTACATGCTTCCCTCTATTCTTGGCTGTGCGATCTTGCTCCTTGAGCTGTCACTAGTGCTTTCCAGCTCTGGACTCTCCCAAGTTAACAGAAAACTCAGCCAGTTAAAGAGTGGAGACTTTTCTGTCTGTTTAGTGACCTAAATCACCTCACTAACATGTGAAATGAGTGCCAGAGCCAGCAAAAGGAAAAGAAGGACACAGGGAGGACCAGGAGAGAGAAGATAGCCTTTTTCAAGGGCAGAAAGTGCCAGTTAAGCTTGTTTTCTCATGAAGAATCCCCCCAATTTATGTGAATTCAGGAAAAATGATGGTTTTGTCTCTTACTGCTTTCAATAAAGATCTTATTTTTCTCAGTTTAAGAAGAGCTGCAGTCTTGCTATGGACAAAAGAAGGAGAAAAAATGTCAGAATCTATCCTATTTTACACAGATTAGAGATTATGAAACTAGAGGACTTTTGTTTTTTCTTCCTATTGCAATATTCATTTCCCCTTCCAGTAGATGAGCTGGATGGCATCAAATAAACCTACTAGCTGGAAAATTGTCATTAACAAAAGAAATCTGTTCTTCAGATGGTATGCAATTAAGTGGTGGAATGCTTCACCAGGGTGTTGTGGATGTAAAAAAAAATCATGGTCTCAGTGGGAAAATGGGTAGCTTGAAGAAAGAGAAAGCCATTTGCATTACTAGGTTAGTGGATACCATTACAGGTTAGTGGATGGCAAGGACCAGCAAAGGAAGTCCTTGAGCTACAAATGGTGGGAGGCTGAGCAAGTGCTTGGAGTAAGTATCAGTTTTGCTTGCTCAGTTTTTGCCTTTTCCTATCTTCTTTTGGCTACTGTTGAGCATAGGGTTAGCTGTCCGTTTGACCTGACCTTAATGGTACCAGATGAAATGAGTACAAAGGCAATTGTTCTGCTGTGTTCTAATGAAATTCATTACAAGACTCAATTATTTGAAAATAATGGGATTTTTATCTGATTTTTTTTTTCCCCCTCCTCTAAGTGCATAGCTGGCAATACTCAGTGGTGGGTGTTAATTTACTTATCCCCTATGTTGGCTGTTTATTTGTGATATTAAACTTAGTTTTACAGAAAC